TTTTTGCCACTTGCCCTTTGGCTGACAAGAAAAGGGGAAAAAATGACAAATTTTAATAGCTCATAACTTATCCTCAAATCTTAGTAGAAAATTTTTTTTTTTTTTGCAGTACGCGGGCCTCTCACTGTTGTGGCCTCTCCCGTTGCAGAGCACAGGCTCCGGACACACAGGCTCAGCGGCCGTGGCTCACGGGCCCAGCCGCTCTGTGGCATGTGGGATCTTCCCGGACCGGGGCACGAACCCGTGTCCCCTGCATCGGCAGGCGGACTCTCAACCACTGCGCCACCAGGGAAGCCCTGAAAAATTTTTGAATTTAGCATTAGGCTGCATAGGGCCAGCTAGCTTACTCTGAATGTCCACAGAAATATGTCCCACTAAACCCACAGGAGTTCACCCTGATGAAGCTAAATCTCCATCCACGTTTACCAGATCCTGCTAATGGTGTCACTCCCCACCCAGAATCCCAAACGGAAAGCCTAAGAACTGCCGGCAACCCTGTCCCCATCTAAGCAGGACGCCAATCCTACCTGCCAGTTCTTCCCTCAAACGCCCACGAGTCCCTTCCGGCTCCTCGTCCGCCGGACCAGGCCCTCCGCCCTCACTGGGCACCGCTAAGCTTCCAACGGGCCTCCTTCGGCAGGGCAACTCCCCCGAAAAATACTTATCAAAAGTAAAGGAGGGACTTCCCTGGTGGCGCAGTGGTTAAGAATCCGTCTGCCAACGCAGGGGACACGGGTTCAGTCTCTGGTCCGGGAAGATTCCACATGCCGCAGAGCAACTAAGCCCATGCGCCACAACTACTGAGCCCACTCTCTAGAGCCCGTGAGCCACAACTACTGAGCCCACGTGCTGCAACTACTGAAGCCTGCACGCCTAGAGCCCGTGCTCCACAATAACAGAAGCCACCACAGTGAGAAGCCCATGCACCACAATGAAGAGTAGCCCCCACTCGGCACAACTAGAGAAAGCCCGCACACAGCAACGAACACCCAACACAGCCAAAAAGAAATTAATTAATTAATATTTTTTAAATGCTTTAAAAATAAAAAAAGTAAAGGAGAAAACCTCTAACAGGACAAAAGGTTCTAGATAAAGACTCTGGAATCAGAATTTCTAACTTCATAGCCTGTACGAGGCACTCAGTCTACCTCCTACCCTCCAAAAAGAAGCTATTGTGAGTTTATCCTAAAGATGGTCTGAGCAGGGAAAGGGGAGGCTGACAGCCCAGAGCCCAGTACTCAGCTCTGTTAGAACAGAAGGGAGGCCTGCCAGCTCCAGAAGCTCCTGGGGGACTCAGGAGTTGAAAGGTGCAGAGATACACAGGGCACATGAGAAGGCCCGAGTCAAAATGCCTAGAAACACACAAAAATGAACTGTGCTGGCTGCACCCAGAGGTGACCAGAGGGCATCCCAGGAGCTATTTCTGTACTTGAAGGAAAATGGGAGGTAGGCACTTCCTGAATCCCTGCTCAAAATAAATAGCTTTACTAGAGAAAAAACAAAGCACAGGGTGCAACTGGAGTTTATCTTTACAAATTAAAACGTGAAGCTGGCGACTCAAATGTGTAGTTGATTATTTCCATCCTGCTGCTAAAAATGTAAGAGGAGAACTGGTTTTTTTAATATGAAACCCATCCTCCAGAAGTAGCCACACAAAAATAAAACCAGCAACTTGATTAGAAATGTCCTTCTTCGTGTACAACTGTAAGCGATTTCAAATGAGAGGCTCAAAGATGCCGACACAAACCCGCGTGAAACACCTCCAGACACACACTGGTCATCACCAGAAGTGGGCGAGCCACATTCCGGGTTCTGATCTCAGTGCTGGCCCTCTGTCCTCGGGGGCCCTCTCCCAGGTGTCGGTGCTGTCCACAGACACACATGTTCAGAGGCAGGGAGCAGGTCGATGGCACTGCCATGAGGCACAGGGTGTCCAGAGGTATGGTGGGAATGGGTCCAAAGCCAGCGCCCTGAGCACAAGGCCTGCAGAGGTCCCCAAGGCCCACCAGCGTGTCCTCCCCACAGGGAACAGGGGACAATGAAGTCGTGCAGGGTTCGGTCACCTCTCCCAGCCTGAACGTAGTGCTTGGGGACAACAGAGGGAAAGGGCAGCAGAGAGGTGACCTTGGAGAACAAGAGCTGGCTTGCACCTCCTCTACCGGGCGGGACGTGTCGCCGGCCAGAGCTGGAGCGCACCCCCAAAACCTCCAGGAACCTCCTGGAACCTGCCCCTTTGGAGACCGCACACTAGGCCCCAGAACAGAGGGCATGGGCACGGAAGGAGGGCGCCGTGAGGACCGTCTGCCAATGCATGGAGCACACGCTGCAGCGTCTAGAGCATGGGCCAGGGCCGGCGGGACACGCTGCTTTACTCCTATTTGTAGAGGGAGACACCCAGGGTCACAGAGATGCCACGGGGCCATCAGAACACAGACCCAGGTCCCAGGGCCCCTTCTCCGGTGGCTCTCGTGGCTTTTGGAGCTGCTTCCAACAGCTACGTGTGGAAATTTCCATTTTCTGCTTCTATTCTCCCCAAAAGAGTGCAGGTGCAGGGAAATAATCATCTATTACAGAATTTCATGAACCAGCAAATCCAGTCACTCACACTCAGAGAGGAGGGAGGGAAATAGTCACTGAGCGCTTTTTCTTGATTTTGTTTATATTTGAGGGACAGGTGCCCGCAGCAGCCTGGCCCCAGGACAGCTCTTCCTCTGTGAGGTGTCCCAAGCCGCACAAGGCACCCTCCACGACCGGGCTCCCGCCCTGCTGTCTGACCCAGGACAAACACACACACACCTTGGTTACTCGCATCACAAGAGTGACGTCTGCTTTGAATCGACGGGCCCTGCAGTCCTGGGTGCCCCTGCTCTGTCATCAGAGCCCAGCTGCGTGGGTCAGATGGCACCACCCTCCTGACGCCCCGCGGGCAGGAGCCTGCCCCCACCCCCCCGCATCTCCGGCCTCAGTGAGCACGCTTGCCTGACTGCGTCTGATCATCTCCTGTGTAACTAAGTCCCCTTTGCAAGGCGGCTCCAATAATTAACTAGGATCAATGCGCTAAAAATATTCCAAAACATTACCGTGATCGTTCCTCCTGTCTGCCCTAAGTCCTACAGATGACGGGGAAGCGGGCAATGGCTAATTTGTCATGGGGGCCTCACCCAAGTGGTCTCTCTAGAAAGGACCACAAGATGCACTGGCCAAAGATGACGGTGCAGGAAGCGCTGGGGTGTTTTTTGCTTGTTTTTATTTTTATTTTTTTATTTTTTTTGGAAGCGCTGTTTTTGAAGGAAGCTTCCCGAATATACACATTTAAATGACTGCAGCTCTTCAAAAGTCACCTTGAGACACTATACACGTATTCCAGTCATTGTGTTATTAATTAAAACTAAAACCCTGCTGCAACTGCCTTTGGGATCTGAGCCAGGTCCTGGAGCAGAGCTGTGGCTGCAGGCAGGGGCAACCTGCACGGCGTGCAAGCACCACGATCGATCGCGGGACTCAGCAAACATCAAGTGTCCTCCCAGAGAGCACGGAGCCCCGCCACTAATGAAGTCACAAAAACACCTGCGCCCAGGATTTCAAAAGGTATTCTGGGAAACTTGAGCAATGCCTAGGTTCAGGCGCCCCTCCCCTCACAGATGATGTCGCCAAGCAAGAATTTGTGACAGCTGGCCCCAGGGGCTCCCCCAACCTCGGGTTTGGCTCCAGGGGAGTCGGCCTGGAGTGAGAAGGATGTGGCTCAAGAGTAGGTTCCCAGGGCACCCCAGACGTCCTAGTCTAAATAACAAAGCGCATTTGGACCCAGAGCGGCCCAGGCTTCCTCCCGCTGCCCTCCCCGCGCCCTGCTCAGGATGGAGGACCCCTGCGCATTCGGGAACCAGCCAGAAGGTCAAACGGGCAGCTGGTGAGTGCAGTTAAGTATGCGTGGAGGCTGCCCTGTTAGCCGCTGCATGATGCGGAATGAAAAGTGACGATTTCGAGAAAACAGAAGGACCTATTTTTAAATTGTATGATTTATTTAAAATAAATAAATTTCAGATGAAGATTATAATTCCCTTCTGGGCTGTTTTGGGAAAGGGCTAGTGAATCCTACATAAATATAGCTTAAACGTAGGCTGCTCTAGAGAGCAAATCAGTCGTGATGGAGTGAGAGTGTCAACTACACGGCCACTCGGTCCCGTCACCTGGCTACACGCCACCGCCAGCTTCAGCGGCCTCTGTTTGTTTCCTCCCATGTAAAATGAACACAGTGCCTGCCGGCCTATTCAGTGCTGCCCGTCAGGGTCTGGTAAGGGCCCTGGCACAGAGAAGTGCCAAAAGAAAGGAAGGAGGCTCCTAAACCACCTGGAGCAGCGCTATTCAGGGGATGAGCTTCTCCACGTTACAGTGGCTCCATCCTGCCGGCTACCTTCAAGCCCAAAGACCCCACAACCAACGCCCCTGTTCAGGCCCAGATTATCTGGGATTTAAAAACATTAATTCCCATACAAAGAAAACTGCCAGGTTTATATAAAATAGCACTTTCCTAGAGCAGCTGCATATGGCTTGCTGACTGAAAAGCAGACCCAGAACCCCCTGGTAGGAACTGGCACATGGAGGCCATTCCCCAAACTCTGGCCTCAGAGTAACCGTTTCCAGTGGGACAAGAACCACAGCCGTGAATGTACCTTTAGCAGCGTGAAATGGGTACGGTGACTTTTCTTCTAGTTGTAATGAGTCAAAAAAAGATCAGTGAGGACAGCCTATCAGGAAAGGGATCTTCACGGGAAAAGAAACAACAATGCCCAGAAGAAGTGCAGAACTTACCAGGGCTTAATGGCTCTTCTGACCCCAGTGACAACTGGCAAAAATAAAAAAACAAGACACGGAAGCAACCAAGATGTCCTTCAGTGGTTGAATGGATAAATAAACCGCGGTACATCCAGACAATGGAATGTTACTCAGCACTAAAAAGAAACAAGCTATCAGGCCATGAAAAGACATGAAGGAAACTTAAATGTATATCACTAAGTGAAAGAAGCCAGTCTGAAGAGGCTACACACTGTATGTTTCCAAGTATATAACATCCTGGAAAAGGCAAAACTACGGAGACCGTAAAAAGGTCAGCAGCTGCCTGGGGTTATGGGGGAGGAGGGATGAAGAGGGGAAGCACCTTTTTAGGGCAGTGAAACTATTCTACCTGATACTGTAGTGATGGATACATGTCATTATACATTTGTTCAAATCCACAGAATGAACAACGCCAAGAGTGAACCCTAATGTAAACAATGGACTTTAATTAATAGTAACGCCTGGATACGGGCTCATCGACTGTAACAAATGCACCACACCTGTGTGGAGGTCGATAGTAAGAGGGGTTCTGTGAGAGTATGTAAATTCTTCGTACCTTCCCCTCGATTTTATTATTTTACTATTAATAAAAAACAATCAAACAAAAATCAACAGCCAAGCATCAAAACAGAGGCACACATCTGTCTACCACAGGTGGATAACTGGAATCCTCTACCAGGACTGGCCTCCCTGGGTGGTCCTACAGCAGGCCAAAATGGACCTGTGGTCCAGCAAGCTACATCGGGGCACCCAGCCCAGGGCCTGAGCGACAGCAAATCAGGAAGCGTTTGTTGAATTGGGCAGTTTGAAAATTAACCTCCTCTTCCCTTAGGGCAAGGGGTGGGAGGAGGGAAGAGAAGTGTGAACATTCACTGAGAGGGCAGAGAGGCCTGGCCGGGGTTTGCAGCTCGGGCCCGTCCCAGGGGCGGGTGGTGTGACTATTTCAAGTTCCAGGGTCACCTGTAAGGCTGGGACAAAGGACACGATGCCCTCCAAGGGAGGCTGTGATGATCAAAGATAGAAAAGCAAAGGCTCAGCACATTACTGATCATCCCTCAATACCGTAGCTGATTTCTGTTCCTTCTGAGCACAGGTCAGAAGCCACTCACGGGCTAGATATTTAGCTCTCTGACCTCACGTCACCCCCAAACCACCCTGCTGGATTACAATCAGCCATCGTGCTTCAAATGAGACTCTCAGGCTTGCCTGTGTTTGTGGAGGCCTGGGGCGACGAACACACAGACCCTCACAAGGCTCTGTGCTCGACCGACCGGGAGTGTTATGAAAACATTCTCACTCTTTCCCTTTTACTAATTCAGGTCATTTGTTCCCAGGAAACGATTTGTGTCCCAGGAAAGAAAGGTCATCACCAACATCCTGTGGGGAGGTAAAGACAGACTCCCCGCCCCCATTCCTTCCCCAAATGCCTCCGAAGGCACCGAGCAGGCAGGGAGAAGGCGGCCCTGGAGCCGGGAAGGACGGGGCGCTTCGCCCAGGTGGGGGCTGGCTGGTGGGCTTCTGGGGAGCAAGGGCCTCGGGGCCTCGAGGCCCAGTAGGATTTGGACATGAAGATGGGGCAGTGCCAGGCCCCCCGGGGCTGGGGGCTCAGCGCTCGGGCAGGCTGGCTTCTCCACCTCCTCTGTGCAGGGACGCGCCGAGCTCCAGCGGCAAGGCCATCGGACGTGCCCACGCACACCGGTCAGCGCGGGCCCCGCACGGCTGACAGGAGCTGCTCCCGCCTGTGTCTCCGGGGAGGGCTGGGGTCTCAGAAGATGCCATGGATGTGAGGTGAGCAAAGCCGTGTGGGAGGGGGCAGGCAGGGGGCATGGATCCTCAGGGCATCCTTCACGGCAGAGAAAGAAGACGCAGGACAGGGAAGGACTCGACCCCCGAGCCAAGGGGGAGCCTTGCCCATACCTACGTGTGGGTGTCTCAGGGAAGCTGGCCACGGGGCTGGAGTTCCCAAGGGGGGCTCTGGAGGCATCAAAGCAGCTGCACCAGGTGCACAGGCCCACATCAGCTCCACGGCTGATCCGTGAAGAGCGAAAATACGTGGGGCGGCAAAAACCTGAACTTGGAAGCCCAACACCCTTGAACCCTGGCACCTGGATGCCAGGTGACAGTGGGTAAGTCATTTCACCACCGGGGGTCTCTGTTTGCTCATCCAGTGAAGGGAGGGGCTGGCCGACAAAGCCTGGGACAGCAGGCCCCAAAAGGGAAGCTGTTGCCCTTATTACTCGGAGAAGAGAGCTGTCTGTAGACAAAGGTTAATGACCAGACATGTAAGTTAATGGTTAAAACTCATGAATGAAGCCAGTGGGTAGCTGTTGACACCCAGGAGAGACGTCTAGGGTGGTCTACGAGGAAGTCGCAGGCTGTGGCCCTCGTCCTTCCCATGGCCCAGAGATGCCATCTGAAGCCAGCCTGTCTGATAAGGTCACTGAGGCTCCTGCGTCAGCCACAGCCAGAACCTGGGGTCGCTGGGCCGAGGGGCCAGCATGGCAGAGGAGGTGACGACAGCAGATCCTGCAGGGGTCCCGAGGTAGGAGAGGCCCCAGGGGTCCTGGGGTCCCCCAGAGCCACGCCTGCCTCACATGGTCTCTCTTCAGGGAGAGGAGCCCATGACAAAGAGTTCTGCTTCTACGGGAGGTGGAAGTGGGCAGCGGAGCTACCGCATGGTGGCCACAGCGGAGCTACCACATGGTGGCCACAGCGGAGCTACCGCATGGTGGACGGACGAAGAAGCCAGCCGAGCCCGGGAATCCTCTCCTGTCCGGAAACCAAGTGGCAGCACCTGCAGTCCTGGTCTTTATCTCCAACAAGGCGCCACATCAAGGCAGGCTCAGAAAGAGAAGAGGACAGCTGGCCCCGGGCTGTGTGCTGTGCAGGCCAGGGACGGGACACAGGGGGTCCGAGGACAGTCTCTGAGCCGGCGGCAGGCAGCTCAGGGCAGAGAGGGCTATTCCACACTGCATGTGCGCTCCAGTTCTGCCGGCTCAGCCCCTATGCGGGGCCTCACATTTGCGGAAACCTGCTGGAGGGACGGTGCTCTCGCCAGTGCACCAAAGCTCAAGGAACACCCCCTCTGCCGCACCCCCATCCCCCAAGTGTCTCCGTACCAACATCTGCCTTCCTGAAACAGCTTTCTTTCCCTACTTCCTCTTTTCTCTTGCCAGGGAGTCAACCAGGGGCCAGGAAAAAAAAAACCAAGTCACTCTGCCCAAACAGCTCATGTGGCACCCATGAACAAGCACAGCCTCCCAGGGAGCAAGATACTTAGAATTCCAAACTTTCCAGTAATTATACGTAAGTTATTCTGCATCCTTAAAATTTAAATAATTACTACTACCATAATTAACAGCTAAAAGCAAGCTGTTTCAGGTGGATTGCAGAAGTGATTATTGACCCATTTTATGCATGAAGATACTGAGGCTCCGGGGAACCGGACTTGCTCCAGGAGACAAGGAGGATGAAAGCCCAGGTCTCTGCCTCCATGTACCCTGGGACCGCATGGCCTCACCTGGGGGGGGGGCATGCTACCCGACGGCCAGGAATAAAGTGCCCTCGGTCCTAGCTCAAGGCTCCGTTTCCCTGCCTGAGCCCCCAGTCCATAGCTCAGCCCCTTTTCTGCAGGATGGCTCTCTCCTTCCACATCTCCTGCTCTACCAAGAGGACATCCCGGGCCTGACTGGGAGCCTCTGATGGTGGCCCTGGCAGCAGCAGGGCAACGACAACGCCAGCGGGGTTAAGCGCACACGAACACGCTCCGGGGATCGTGCTGTGCCCTCAACTTCGGTGTTCCCAGCGCAGAGGGGACCCACAGCCCATACCTTCCCCAAGTCAGTAAATGGATGGATGGGCCAGACGTTAAGCCAAAGCCTGTGTTTTTGACCAAAGCTTCACGTAAGCTTTCTCAGTCTCCAAGAAATCCGGGCACGCACGGTTAGGCACAGACGTGTGGTGATCAAGGACCCAGCCGTCTGGGGGAGCTGCGTCTCAGCTCCTGGGAGACTGAGCTGCCCTGCCCCCAACCCCGTGCGTATCTCCAGGGGCGGCCCTCGTCTGCTCAGGAGCAATGGCATTATAGTTTCGGAATAAGAAGAGTCTTTGTTATTGCTAGTGGCATTCTCTCCTGCCATTCAAAGCTGCGTTATCCAAAAAAAAATGACTACGGATACATTTCCCCCTCCACCATGATCTAATAAGAATAAAAGCTTATCTATCCCTAGCAAACTGCCAGTTACTGTGGCTAGAAATGCCATAATCAGTGATAGTTAAGACTTTTGGAATATTCTTTGAACCAAAGAATTCAATCCCCTAAGTAGCTGGCACCGGGCCCCCTTTGAGAAACAGTGCCAAGGGCAGCAGGGCTCAGTCTGCAGCTGCGGGTCAAGAATGGCCGGGCCAGGCAGAGTGTCACGGGAGGAGGCCCTTGCACACGACGCACCCTCACGCGTGCAGCATGACACCGGACAAGCAGGGCTCTGGCAGTGGCTCTCCCCACTCTCCACCCCACCGGGGTGACGAGGCACAAGCTCCGCAGGACAAGGCTTGCTGCAACTGGGACCCTCGGGGGCTGGGGGCGCGTCCAAACCCTCGGCAGGCAGACGGGGGAAAACCCTCCGGGAAATCCGGAATATTCCCCGAGGTGGCATCTTCCCCACCTCCACTGCATGCAGGAATCTCTGCTCTGACACGGTCACTTAGGTTTAAAGTACACAGCACACTGGAAAGACGAGCACATTTGTGAGCAAAGCAGACCTAGAATAACCAAGGTCAGAAATCAGTCCTGCCCAGGGTTCAGTGTGAGTAAGAATGCCTGGCCTTGGACAGAAAGGGGAAGCCTTCTCCACAGTGAGACCGCAAGTGACAGCAGAAATGTCCCAAAGCTCCGCCACGTGGCCTGATCCTGAGACGACTAAAGCACACATCATGTGACACCTCGGAAGAGACGGAGGCAAGGGGGCTGCCGACTTGGGGGCTGGATAACAGCGCAGCGCAGAGCGCCATCCTACAGCCTCGCCACTTCTGCACGTGTCCCAAATGCTCCATGATGAGAAGTTTAATAAGCAAAGTCATTTAATCTCTTTCTTGAAGAAAAAAGCAGGGCTAGACCCACCTGTAATTGCTCTAGCTTTGTGCGTGAGCATCTGTGTGGTCGTGTGCCCGTGCGGGTAAACTGCGTGCATGTGTGTGACGTGTGTGTGTGTGTGTGTGCGCGTGTATGTGGGCACGTGTGAGTGGGCACTGTGTGTGAGTGCCCGTATGAACGTGAAGCGTGTGCATGTGTGTGACTTCACGTGCGTGCCTGTGTGGATCGTGGGGACAGTGGAGGAAAGCAGGATTCTGGTCCTCACAGGGAGAGCGCACGCACGTGAAGCCAGCCCATAGGTCCACGAAGCCCGCGTCCAGCACACGTTCCTTCCACTCGGAGCCCAAGGACCAGTCGAAAATTCTCAGGAGAGGCTGAGCCGTGAGGTCCAGAGCAGCAACAAAATCCCAAGACTCTCTAAAACCCCATCTCCCTGGACCTCCACCCACCAGGGGCAGCCTGCAGGGCACCTGAGGGGGTCCCACAAAGGTGGGACCGGCCAGTCAGCAAGGAGCGACGCGTGGGCCCTGGCTCTACTGAAGGTAACATCGTACCTGGAAAGCGTGAGAGGTACAGACATCCGGACCTGCGTAGAAAACCAGGGCCCCGTCTAGGGGTGCCTGCAGCTTCCATATGCCATTTCCAGGCCTCCTCGTTCCCCACTAATCAAAGCCTTACACCCAACCCAGTACACCCAGGCCTCAAGCACTTCGTAGGGCCACCCAGCAATTGAACCCTACCAGGGAATGCAGGACTCCGTGATTCAGGGTCCCCAGACGTCCACGACAGCCTGAAAACCCCAGCCCATCTATGAACTACCCTCAGAAAAGAAGCCAGAAAAATTCTCAAGGCCAGGCATGTGCCCTCACCCCTATCCCCACCCCCTCTCTGCCATTAAAAAAAGCAGTACGTCGATGTGATTGGAAAGAAGGGATCATTTGTTGTGGAGAAAGGGCTGTGAGATGGCCAGGACAAAATTACCGAATTCTTATCTGAAACCAAATTCTTAAGAGCTATTTTTCTATAATTAAAAACATGGATTTCATAGCTCCTCAGTTTATTCTTCAGATGAAAACTATACACCCTATCGAAAAGCATCTAGCAGCCGTTTCTTAAGCGTTCCGTTTCTGTGGCCACGGTCCAAAGCAGTCCCCTCCCATGTACATCATTCAACGCGGGCCAATTCGGCTCCAGAAGCCCCATGGGAGAGCAATGCAACACTTACCTTGGCTTCACATTTCTTGTGGCAGGAATACTTGCAGGCTACAAGAGAAGGAGAAAGAATGTTGAGCAGTCTCTCAATACTTTCTACATCTCCAAATTCTTAATCCTTGGAGAACGTCCGGACTGAGGGAGGTTTTTCACTTAGACACCTTAGACACGACGCCGAGTTCAACAGAGTGTGGGATGGATGGACACGGCGTCCAAGAACCCAGCCACCCTCTGCAGTGTCAGCGACGGCCCAGATGGCGCAGGTGGGGACGCTGGGGAGCAGTTACAAACACACTGGCTTTTCCAGGGGTTCGGGCGGCCAAATAGGGGCCTTGCAGGAGAAAGGCGGTGAACCTGAGCAGTAGAAAGCATCCGTGTTTGGCTGGAAATTACAGCTTCTCCCTGAAGAAAGGAGAGAAACTTGAAAGTGCCCCAGAAGACTCAGGACTGGCGCCTATAAATTAGTCAGAAATTGGACATTTGAGTTCCACGCTCCTTCCACTTCCGGACAACTTAAGAACTGACTGTCAGAACAAATCCACGTCTAAATTCCTGCGGGGGATCCTTCAACCCAGGCCATTGTGTGGACTGAGAGAGGCATGTGTTGGTTCGGAGGCCCTAACAATGCAGATAGAGCCGGAACCAATGTGGATTTCACAGGCCCGCCGTCCAGAGGCTGCAGCTGTGCTGACAGGACATGAAAGGCTTCACCCACACCACGGTGGCTCCGGGCACGGGGGCCTGCCTGCCGATGCTTCCAGGCAGAGGCAGCAGGACAGCGAGACAGCACAGAATGAAGCAACTGCACCAGATAAGCCCAGGGCAAGCTCCCATGTGGGCTCCAAGCGGGCATCCGTCTGGTGAACCCGTGGGGCAGCTGTGAGATGGGGGACAGGGACCTGGGCTTAAGGGCACGGGACCTGGGGGCTTCCTGGCCCTGTCCAGCTGGGCTGCTCTAGGCAGGACCAGTGACCTCTCTGGGCCTCTTTCCTCTCCCAGGGCTATCGTGATACCAAAATGGAATCGTTCACGGGACGCTGCTTTGAAACTGCAAAGCACAATGTCAACGTACAGAAGTGTGTGGTCCTGGAAGAATGAGGCCTTGGAGGTCAGGAGACGGGCCCCAAATCCTGGTTAGCGCTTCGAGGCCCAAACTTTCCACCAACCGCCCCCGCCACCGTATCTTCCCCCTCTCTTGTGTATGAGCTGAGGACAGAAAGCCGGAACTCGTAGTCTACCTGGGCCCGAATGAGGGTACAACAAAGTAACAAAAACAGCCCGTGCCTGGGGGGTGGTCCCTGGAACTCCAGCAGGGAAGAGCCAGGGTTATTATCTTTGCAAGATCTATTTTTTGAACTCTCTCTGTGCATCTGAGGTTTGTGAAATTATTCACAAAAACAAATATTTATTCTACATTTTCTAACGGGTCCCCCCTTCCCCCCCGCCCCCCGCAAAGGCGATGAGTGATTTTCTAATTGAGATAAGCTGGCCATGGGAATAAAAGAGGCTTTCACACCAGATTAAAATCTCAGACAGAGGACAGCCAGGGGCCAGAGGCCAGCCGGAAGGACTGAGATAGAGAGAAAGGCAGTTGAGGGGCCCTTTGGCCTTTGGGAAAGTGAAAATTAGCAGAAATGCAGGTGAAGACTTCCCCCTGCCCCAGAGGAAGCTCTGTCCACACACGCTGGATGGGGCAGGCCTGTCCACTTAGCAGGCAGGACAGGAGCACGACCTCCCGCGGCAGTCAGCCGGGAGGTGGCCTCAGGGATCCTCCTGGCACCTGTGACCCCGCGCAGTCCCCTCACAGTGACAGAGCTGGTCGTGCGCCGAGGCAGGATGGCACAGGACGTGGCGAGTGACCTCCGCCCTGGTCTCCTGGATCGCCCCTCTGAGGGGAGCCTGGCCCACGCTGTGAGGCGTTGAGGCAGCCCTGGGGAGGCGGCCCACCTGAAGGAACTGAGACCTCCCGCCAGCAGGCAGCTCCACCCTGCCAGCCAGCCGTGCGTGCGAGGAAGCCACCTGGGAAGTGGGTCCTCCAGCCTCAGGAGAGCTTTCAGATGAGGCAGCCTCTTAAGGGATCCTGAGCCTGCCCTGCCGGCCCATGTGACTCCCAAATTCCTGATCCACAGAAGCAGTGAGAAGAGAACGTATTGTCACGGTAAGTCACTAACTTTGGGGGTAACTGCTTACACAGCAGCTCGACAAACCAATTCAACCCACAAAGGGCTGTGGTCGGTGGAAAGCAGGATGACAGCGGTGTGACATGTTCATGGTGGACGGCCCACTGGGCCACGAGAGAGCCTCAGGCCGTTATAGGGCAAATCATCACATTCACAAAGCTTAAGTGATCATAGTGAATTGCAGAAACCACCCGCGCGCTAAGGCGGGGGTCCTGAGAGGTGACCCCACGGTATTATGAACTTTCTACCCGAATGCCAGCAGCGTGGATGGTCCCTCAGGTTTTCCTCGGAGTAGCAATTCACCCTGAGCCTGTGGGAGCTGTGGGCGACCCCCAGCGAAATGCTTCCCGCGTGTTCCTCGCCTTCAATCCTCGGGACCACCGTCAGAGAGAAACTGGGCAAGTGCCAGGACCCAGCAGGGCCTATGCAGGCTGGCATTCCAGCCCGTATCTGCCCCCACTTTTCAACCAGCCACACACTGCCTTTCCAACATATTATAAACACTGATGGGAACAGCGTCCAGACCCGGTTTCCAATCCTGTTGCCCACAAGTAGCAAGGGCAGCTCCTCAGCACAGATGCGACATCCAGCACTCCCAGCCTCCCCGGCTCCAGCACCTCGGACACACCCTCCTCAGACTGCGAGTGCCGCCACCTCCCCCAGGAAGCCCTCCCTCCCTCCACCCTGCCCCGCCAGGCAAGGCTAAGTGCCTGACAGGGTTGCGGGAGCCCTGGCCACATTTCTCCCTCCAGCACCCATCCCATCGTGCATCATTTCAAAGTAGTTTCTGTGCGTCCATATCTCCTGACCAGGCCAAGCTCATCCAGGGA